CAGGCTCTGTGACCTCACAAGGCTGCTAACCAGGCAGATAAACACTTGTGGCCACTTCTCACATTAAGCAACCAGCAATAGACGGGTTTAAAGTTGGGGTTTTTGTTTTGCAATTCCCGAAAACATTATTTAAGCAGGAATGTTATATATTCCATACAGGTAACAACTGAATTTGTTTGTTCACGCGATTGCCTTTCCTTAAGTATTGGTTTAATTAATGGTGGGATTGAACTTTGAATGTGAGTTTTGCTCTATTTGGAAACCACAAATAGTTGGGGCTGTTTTGAATGGTGCAAAATATAAATCTGAAGATGAGAGAAATGTGTACTGTACCTGTTTTCATTATAATGTCTTATAATTTACAGATTTACTATATATCACAACTCTGAAGGGCACTGTTTTCATATTCTTGAATATAGACTAGAAGAAAGTTATTTAAAGGAATTTGGTTTAATAAACTCATCGAGTGTTCCTGGCTTCTTAGTGTCTTTACTAGTACTTTCATTCTTGTTTAGAAAGCAACTAATATATTTATTTCTCACTAAATTCTCTAAAATAAAGAAATAAAATGTCATTCATCAGAAATTGAGACAAAACCTATAACATTAAATACAGTTTAAAATACTTTAGAATTTCCATACAGGAACAATTTATTTATATAATGCCTTTTGTGAAAGAGGTATGTTGTTTTTGCCTTAAAGCATAATTACTAGGAGATAATGCTGTAAGTGCATCTAATGTATTTCAAAATCATAAACAAATGTGATTAGAAGATGAGAATTTTCAAATTGGAAATATACATTAGCAGTAAATACATATTTTAGAAAGACTTTGCTGGAAAATGTGTTTCTGATTTCCATGTAAATCTCAATGTAGTGTCTGGTTTTGGGTATTTTATGGAATTTCGTACTCTGTTATGAGAATCTCTTGCAGGCAGCTTTTTCTCAATCATTGCTCTGAAACGGGGAAGACGTCGGGGAGAATCCTTCAATTTCCTTCTGGTTACTTGGCAGCAGAAATTCCTTACTGACCTCCAATTTGGCTTCCTTTAGCAGGGCAGCTAGGGGAATAGGGCCTTCATTTGGGAGAGGTAGAAGGTAGGGCAAGAAAAAAAGTCAGGATTGTTTGGCAATACCTAAGTGAAAGCACATGTATTGGGGATTTTCTTGTTCTAACCACCTCCTATTGAGCCCGTACTTTGAGATGGTCCAACACGTGACAATGGACAGGTAAGATTCACAGCAGCTTATTAGTCACGTATACTCATAGTCCAGGGGAAGAGAACACCACAAAGCACTCAGGGCCCCAGAAGTACCTGAGAGCAGAGTGAACCTGTGGGAGGCAGGCTTGACAGACAGGAGGGTGAGGTGACCTTTGGTTCTCCAGGAAGGACAAAGGGAGATCTGTTAGGTTGAAGATAAGGTGGGATGGAGCTGGTCTGGCTGACGGGGGAGTTAGCCAGGGTCAGAGCCTTTCTTGCTGGTGGTGGGTGGGGAGATCATATCTGGCAACAGCAGAACTCATATCTAAGCCTTTGGGACCCTACAAGGCTCAAAGATGTCGAGGCAACACATGAAATTTTAGTCCTGACAATACCATTCTCACGACTGAAAGTTTCGTGGAGGAACAAAGGAGGAGCAAGTAGTACCTCAGCCATCTACTGAGGAAGGCGCTTTTGGGGTCAGTGTCAGAGCCACTTTTGGGTCTCTGGACCTCTATAAAGATGAGATCAAGCTGGCTGTACACAAGGAACAGCATTAAGTACCAGTGCCTTTATATGGTAGGTTGAGTCAAGGAGCCAGAAACAGGAAACTGTTTTGTCAGAGGCAATAGGGTGTAATGGCTAAGGGGGTGCAGAACTTGGCATACCTGCCTTACATTTGGGCTCTTATCAGATCTGTGGCTTCTGGAAGGTTATTTAATCTCTTTGTACTTCTGTTTCCCTATTAGTAATGTAACGTAACTATCTCGTGGGGTGGTTGAAATGTTGAATGAAATAATACCTGTAAGCGCTTAATAAGTATTAGCTATTATTATTGATTGGGTATATAAGTCATCCAACCAGCTTCTGGAGGTGAGTTAACCAGTGGCCAGTCTTAGCCTAAAGCAGTAGTCAAGGCTGAGGGTATTGTGATATTATCACCTAAATCACACTAGAGGTTCTTCATTTCTCTTGACAAGGTCTTGACATATTTTAAATGGCTACTCAGAAGCTTTGCATTTAGAAGATACAAAGGTGTGTTTTCCATAATGACCGTTTAAAGATTCTCCTGTCTGATGGTATTTATTGGTCTTTCAAAAGCAAAACATATGCCTATTAGATAAGAGGCATTCGATAAATGTTTATTGAATAACTTTTGAAAAATGAGACATTATCACTATCAAAATATGGAAATTCCTCTCTAGCTTCATCCGTAATATTTAGAGGTAAATTGAACAAAAGATTAGTTTTAGTACGGTATGTAGAGGTTGTTCTAGAATGTTCATAGAAAAGGCACTTTGGCATTGCATTCTTTTTTTTTTTTTTTTTTGGCATTGAATTCTAGTCAGAAGAAGGAAACTCATCCTGAAAGCTTCACAGCAGAGCCAGCACATACTGTTTGAGCGCCTGGCATAAGGATACTGCTAGGAAAACCCTTTGAAGCCACTTGGCTTAGTGTGGTGGCAATAGGGAGTAAGAAGTAGAAACAAATATTTATTTTTTTGTAATTGGGCACATTTAATATGGATTAAATATATTTATTTGCTCATTAGCCCCTACTCCATTTCTTTATATCACTTCCCACCTACTTGTTTTGTTGAAATAAATGGTAAAAACACAGAGAACTTGCTTGCATGTCTTTATAATCCCTATTATGCACAGTGGTTTATTTTTTTACATTTAATATGTGTTCAATATTTGTTAGTTGATTAGTTTTCACTGAACCATCAATAATTCTCAGTTGTGTTTGCGATTTTACCCTTGCAAGACAAATTGTTTTAGAAATTCCAAGTGAGTGAATTGGACCAGGTAATCGCCAAGAATTCTTTTAATGCTAATGCTCTATGATGATCAAATCTATCAAGGAGAGACCTTGGTAGGGAAAAAAGAAGTTTTGGAAAAACCTGGGGATTTATTACCCTTATATTGACACGGAAGGAATTCTAGTAGAATAAAATTCCATAGATGAAAATTATATATAATTATTACTGCAAAATCTGATAAATTAGGAAACTGTCTTTGGTGTTACTGAATGTAACCCAATAGGTTCTTTGGCACTGAGTAGCCGAGAGTCTGAGGTTAATAGCACCTGTTCTGTATTCCCTGTTTGATTCCTGGCTCTGCTCCTTAACAGCCATGTTGGCCTAGGACAAGCCACTTCACCTCTGTTTCCTCACCTGTAAAACAACAAAAATAGTAACTACTTTACAGGGTTGTCCTAAAGAGTCAATGAATGAATTGGTATCCATAAAAAGCCCTGAGAATATTGTCTGTCACCCACTATACACGTCCTCATGGTCATTCTTCTTGTTCTTCTCGTAGATACATATATAGCTGACTTCCAAGCCACCTTTCCATGCTTGGTGTCTAGAGACAAAGGAATTCATGGGGAAGTTCCCCCCCTGCCCCACTCAGGATACATATATAAAGCTTTGCTTGAAGTCCTTGAATTTAAAAGCAGCTATTTTTTTTTCAATTCTCATCTTTTAAGAGAGCTTCTCCAAAAAACACACAAAAAACTACTATTCATGCAATTGATGTCAAAAGCCAAGTGAGCACTATTTTACTGAAGAAGTATTTCAGCCATTTCCCTGGAATGGTTTTAAAGCAAGCAATCTACTGCTTGAAAGTGCTGCCTTTGATATCAAATGGTCATTAAAAGTCCCATGACACTTAACTGCGGCTTAAAATTATTCATCTCTATCTCTTGGCAAGGGTTCAAATTTGAGATTAAATTCCCTTTAAGTGGCAGAGGCATTCATAGTCCCCCCTGCCTGATGCTTTTAAGTACTTTTGTTTTACTGGAGGAGTACCACCTTCAGATGCTTGTAGATGAAGAGACACTTGTCACTCACAGGCTTAGCACTGAGTCAATCACATTCAGAAAATGCACATGACCCATTGGTTTCTGCTTTCTAATGCATTCTTTCTGTAAGTTGTAAATTGACAAAATTCCTTTGTCATTTTTAAATCACTTAAAGTCTTTATTTTTCTATCTTTCTTTTTAGAATCTCCCCTAAGCACTCTTATCTTAGAAGTTCTTTGAAAAATGTTTTAAAACAATTCCAGAAGTGATGAAGCCCAGAGGACCCATATGGATACAAAGTAATGAAGTAAAATACGATGCTAAAGGTTGATGAGAGAATAAACTGGACTTTACTGTGATGATAAGAACCTGATAAGGTCTGAATGTAATTCTTACGACTTCTAAATTCTTTCAGAGAATCATAGCTAATGTTACAGAAAAATGTTCTAAAGCAGTAACATAAACCAATTCTCATGTACACTCTTAAAACCCTATAAATGCTATCAAGTCTTCAATTGGGATCTCAACTGTAAAGTTTTTGCCTTTTGTATTGTACCTAGATCCCATTTTGCGCAATTTCGATACAAATTCCCATGTACTGAAGACCTTGACTTATAGTCAAATATTTCATCGTACTTCCAGTTGGTGTTCCTCATTTCTTATCTTCTCTGAGCCTCTTCCCACATTCGCTCTTTTTTTCATCAGACCGTTGTTCCATGGAAAGGCCTGGGAGAACGCGGCCCGCGTTTCGTTTTATTTGCTTCCTTGCTCCAGGCAGCGCCGCTCTGAGGTCGGCCCCGCGTGGGCCGGCATTGACAGAGGAAAGGCGGGTGCGGCCTGCGGCCGCGCGCAGGGGGCGGGGCGTAGGCGGAACCTGGGGCGGGGCGGAACGTGCAGGGGCGGGGCTTGCCCGCAGAGCGCGGCAGGCGAGCGCGTCTCAGGTTGGCTGTTCCTGGCTGAGCCCGCGGCAACCCAGGCGGCGGCCGTAGCCAGATGCTCGCGGGCTCTGTGGGCTTCAGGCGTTTTCCTCAGTGGTACAGCGCCAACTCTCTCCCGCCGGATAGGGAGACCTGGCGGCGCTCTGCTCGAAAACTCGT